CCCCCCAAACCCCCCCCCCCCCAAAAAAAACTAAATTAATAAAAATTAATAAAAAATAAGGAACTATATACATTATTAGAAATATTTTACATATGAAATTAGCTTTACAAATTTATAGAATAAAGGATCTGTTGTTGTTGTTTGATTCAGGGGAAGTCGTGGCCTAATGGTTAGAGAGTCAGACTCATAACCCAAAGGTTGTGGGTTTGAGTCTCGTACCGGCAGGGATTGTAGGTGGGGGGAGTGAATGTACAGCGCTCTCTCCCACCTTCAATACCACGACTGAGGTGACCTTGAGCAAGGCACCGAACCCCCAACTGCTCCCCGGGCGCCGCAGCATAAATGGCTGCCCACTGCTCCGGGTGTGTGTTCACGGTGTGTGTGTGTTCATGGCTGTGTGTGTGCACTTTGGATGGGTAAATGCAGAGCACTAATTCTGAGTATGGGTCACCATACTTGGCCACATGTCACTTCACTTATTCCACTTTTCTGAGAAAAAAAAAAAAAGTATATATATATATATATAAAAAAAAAATTTAATTATCAAAGAACTGTTTATAGTAGTTTGAATTAACAGTAACTACACTAGATTAGATGAGATACACTGGATGACAGACAGAAAGCTAGAATTTAAGCAATACATGATTAAACACAAAGAGCACATGAAACAAACACACAGCACACACTGTGCTTCAATGGAAGAGTGAGGACTGACTTCATGTGGGACCAGACCTGGCTGAAGTCACACATTGAGACAGAGATGTGGAGATGGTGTTGAGATAGAAGAGCTTGATAGCTTGTGACAGTCAGCGCTCCTGCTATCATTCTTGCTCTATCACTCGCCATCTTCGGCTGAGATTAAACCCCGACCGGCTCTGAAAGTGACAGATGCGAGCGAGCGTCTCCGGCCCGTGGCAGAATCTCCAGAGGAGGCCGTATGCCACACTATTACTAATAAGAGGAGCAGGAAATGGGGCACACCTCGGCTCTGTAATCACAGCACTGCGTCTCTTTTGACGTCCTCTGCCGGTGACCTCATTAGCTGGCCCGTATCGGGATTAAACCGGGGTCAAAGGTTAAGCTGGACGGGCTCTCTGAGGGGCGTGAAGCTTGATTAGAAAGCTGAGCAGAGGGAAATGAGGAAAGACGAACAGCTCCCTGGACGTCTGACGTGATTGGAACTGATAAAGAAGATTGATGTAGTGCAGAGAGAATCGAGAGCGGATAATGTGCTCAGGGTCCGGCCCGTCCTACAGGCGATAGAGACGCTCAGACGGGGCCCCGATGCGCCGAGATGCTTCGTAATACATGTTCACAATTTATCTAATCTACACCTAAAGCCAGTGGCACATCGTGACAGTCCCACATTACTCAACAAATACAACTTTAAAGCTATAGATTTACCACAATGATGCACAAAGAAATCTTCATTTAACAACAGAAATTGTTACAAATTTTATAATAAATATATAAGAATATAAATATAAGGAAAAAATTTTACTGAAAATTATTTTAAATGTACTGTATATAAGAAAAAGTCTGGGGTCAGTACGTTTTTATTTTATTTTATATATATATATTATAGGATATATTTCAAGGATGCATTACACAAGATTTCTGTTTGACATAAATGCTGTTCTTTTGAACTTTCTATTCATCTGTGAATCCTGAAAAATCAAATGTATCACGATTTCCACAAAAATATGATGCAGCACAACTGTTTTCAACATTGATAATAATCAGAAATGTTCCTTGAGCAGCAAATCAGCATCTTAGAATGATTTCTGAAGATCATGTGACACTGAAGACTGGAGTAATGATGCTGAAAATACAGCTGCGCATCACAGAAATAAATGACATTTTACAATAGATTCACATTGAAAACAGTTGTTTTAAATGTTAATAATATTTCACAATATTTATGTTTTTAATGTATTTTTGATTAAATAAATGCAACCTTGGTGAGCCTAAATATACAAATTTACAGTATTTGTAAATCTTTCTATGTAGAGGCCTACATACATTTAAAAAAAAATGCATTTTATTGTAATTTTTTTAATTAGTCTGTTAATTTATTAAACAGATTAAGAAGTATATTTTGCACATAATTATGCTTGTTTACATTGAATATGTAAGTTTTTACGTGTATTTTATTTTTTCCCCAACATTACTGTACCTGATTTTCAATGCCTTTTCACTTTTATTTTTTTAAATTAATCTGTTAATTTATGAAACTGATTAATAAATAGATTTTGCACATAGTGCTGCTTATTTACATTGAATATTTTGCACTAAATAAACATTTACACACACAGTTATGTACAAGGTCCAGGTCGTGGGAATAACGGATGGGAAGTTTTGCTTTTTGAGACTCGTGCACAGTCACTTTTGTTTAGTTTCTGCTAAAATAAAGCATCAGGTTAGCTTTGTGCGACATCATCCCGAATGAATTGAGATTGAATTGGTTCAGCGTTCTTGTAGCTCAAACAGTAAAGTATGGCACTAGAAACATTAAGGTCATGGGTTTTGATTCCCAGGGATTGCATGAACTGAAACAATGTGTAACTTGAATGCAAAGTTGCTTTGGATAAAAGTGTCTGTCAAATGCATAAATGTAAATGCACAATATATTGGAACCATATTAGTTATATTTTGTTTGGCATATATTAGTATTTAGATAATCTAGCACTTACTTTAAAGGCACAGGGATATATTATGGCAAATATTTATAATAAATTATAAATAATATTATAAAATCACTTTGTGAAGTGTTTTTTGTTGAAGAGCGCTGTCCTTTTAAGAGCACATGTTGGTACGTGCTGCTGTGTGCATGTAATTATTAGTATTGTGCGTTTATGTGCATAAGAAATTTAGTTAATGTCTTGAAAAAAAAGTACAATAATTAAAGGGTTAGTTCACCCAAAAATGAAAATTCTGTCATTAATTACTCACCCTCGTGTTGTTCTAAACCCGTAAAACCTTCGTTCATCTTCGGAACACAATTTAAGATATTTTTGATGAAATCTGAGAGCTCTCTGATCTTCCCATAGACAGCAAGGTAACTACCACGTTCAAGGTCCAGAAAAGTACCAAGATGATCATCAAAGTAATCCGTGTGACATCAGTGGTTCAACTGTAAAGTTACAAAGCTACGAGAATACTTTTTTGCGCAAAGAAAACAAAAATAACGACTTTATTCCACATTTTCGTCTCTACTGCATCACTTGTGGACGCGCGTTCACTACAGTATAACGACAGTAATTACGTCATTACGCCGGATCTGGGTCAGTGCCGGCGCTGCGCGACGCTCGCGTCATGATAAAGTCGTTAAAGTACTGACCATTTTTACAGACCATTAACCCATATAATGGCGCTTTTCCACTGCATGGTACGGCACGGTACGGCTCTTACGGTTCACTTTTTGGGGGTTTTCCACTGGGTACAGTACCTGGTACCTGGTACTTTTTTTAGTACCACCTCGATTGGGGTTCCAAGTGAACCGTACCGTTACCAAAACGTGACGTGTTAACTCTGCTGATCACGGATTGGCCGGAGAGAATCTCACTACCTGCGTCACAAAAGAACCAGCCAGCGAAGGATCGAACACAACTGTTTTGAACGAGCGCACATTTTTTTAACAACCAAAAAGTTTTGTTGTCTGTTGCGGAAGAACAGACGTTTCTCTCGTTGATAGCAGAGGAGCGGATCCAGCGAGAGCTTGATGGGGCGACGCCGAATGAAAAAGTTTTTTTTAGGAGTCGTGGTAGTAGAGGCGGCGCAACTATAACGACATGTGAATAATCCCACCCACTCTAAAGCGGTACTGAACTGCAGTGGAAACGCAAACCGTGCCAAACCGTGCCGAACCGTGCCGTGCCGTTCCACGCAGTGGAAAAGCGCCTTAAGAGAACCATATAAGAGTGACTTCAAGTAAATATTTTAGGTTGAAGGGTTTCTGTAAATAATGTTAATAATTTAATATAATTTAATTCCAAACCAACATTAACAACATGGCTAATACTAATACAAAATGTAATGTTCATATGGAAACTCATTTCCGCCACTGAATAAAAATTTTAAAAGGTAATTGCAACTTTTTTCTCACAATTCAGATTTTTCTCGCAATTGCGAGTTTACATCTCACATTTCTGATATTTTTTCTTAGAATTGCAAGTTTATATCATGCAATTCAGACTTTGTAACTCACAATTATGAGTTTCTATCACTCAATTCCGAGAAAAAAAGTCAGAATTGTGAGATAAAAAGTTGCAATTACCTTTTTTTTCATTCAGTGGCAGAAATGGGCTTCCATATGTTCAGCTGGTAATTTGCTCTTGATAATGCAGATCTGTCGACTTCTGTCTGTCCTGATTTTCATGTTAATCATTTAGCATATTGTTGCACTTCACAAGATAATGTCTAATTGTAAGGATATTCTTGTTTACTTTTGTTTGATAAACAACTAGTACTTTGTTGGGACATTCAATGTAAAATCTGAAACTAAACCAGTTGAAAACTGCTGTACAGTATATTTCTTAAAATGGAAAGATGTGTGTCATCTCAGTAAGTTGATGTATTGTGTTTGCAGGCGGTCTCAGAGGCGCTTCTATCGTGGATTCTCTGGACACGCTGTACATCATGGGTCTGATGGAGGAGTATGAAGAAGCGAAGGAATGGATCCAAAACAACCTGGACCTGAACTCGGTGAGCAAACATGGTTGGGTTGTTTCTCCTTGGATTAGCAGCTCTGAATTTAATGCTGTCTGAAGCACTTGTGGAAAAGCCTTCTATTGATCCGGAGCTGCGCTGGAGTCAGTTGTTTCTTTTAACCAAAGTCCAGTCCTGGGAATTGAGACAGTTTTGATCCAGATCAAACATTCGTGAGTGGATGAAAGGCCTCCGTTGTGGCTTTGTGTTGACTTACTGTGACTTGTGTTGAGTAATGTAAAGAGAGCGCTCACTCACTGATGGACAGTTCTGAGGGAAAACTAAGAACTTGCAATTTAAAGATAAACTGCATAGTTAGATTACAACTGGAGCCTTCGCAAAAGTTACCATAGTGATGCGAGGATGTTGTCTGTAGTTGCTAGGATGTAGCTAAGTGGTTGATTAGAATATCTGAATGGTTACTAGGATATTTTGGGTAGTTTCTAGGCTGTTGCTTAGGTGTTCTGAATGGTTGCTTAGGCGTTGCTAGGATACTAGGATGTTGTGGATAGTTGCTATGCTATCGCTTATGTGTTTGTGATGGTTGCTAGGATACAAGGATGCTGTGGGTAGTTACTAGGCTGTTACTTGGGGGTTCTGAATGGTTACTAGGGTGTTGTTAGGATACAAGGATGTTGTGGGTAGTTGTTAGGCTATTGTTAGGGGGTTGCTTAGTTGTTGTGAATGGTTTCTAGGTCATTTCTAGGATATTAGAATGTTGTGGGTAGTTGATAGGCCTTTGAGAAACGGTTGCTTAGATATAATGAATGGTTGCTAGAGTGTTGCAGTGTTACTGGTATGCTGCTAGGCTGTTGCTTGAGTGGTGTTCTGAGTGGTTACTAGGGTGTTGTAAGGATACATGGATGTTTCGGGTAGTTGTTAAGTCGTTGCTGAGTGGTTGCTTAGGTGTTCTGAATGGTTGTTAGAATACAAGGATGTTGTGGGCAGTTGTTAGGCTGCTGCTAAGTGGTTGCTAGAATTTGAGGATGTTGTGGGTAGTTGCTAGGCAATTACTAGGTGGTTGCTTAAAGGTTCTGAATGGTTGCTAGGGTGTTGCTAGGGTAATAGGATGTTGTGGTAGTTGCTAGGCTGTTGCTAAGTGGTTGCTTAGAGGTTCTGCATGGTTGCTATGGTATTGATAGGATAATAGGATGTTGTGGTAGTTGCTAGGCTGTTGCTAAGTGGTTGCTTAGAGGTTCTGCATGGTTGCTATGGTATTGATAGGATAATAGGATGTTGTGGTAGTTGCTAGGCTGTTGCTAAGTGGTTGCTTAGGTGTTCTGAATGGTTGCTATTTGGTTGCTGGAGTGTTGTGGGGGGTTACTAAATGGAATTTTAAACCCTAAAATTCATAGCAATCAATTAATAATATTTGTAAATTAAATGGGTAAAGTAAATCTGGAGTGGCTGTGTGTCAAAAATAGAATTAAGGCGTTTGCATTGACATTGGGCGCTTGTTGTGTACAGAAGATGATCTAGTTCAGCTGGATTGTAGCACTTGCACTTTTGATAACCAGAAGTTTAAATTTCCTAACTCTTGACATTGAGATTTTCGACAGTGTAAAATGGCTTGTTAAATCTGTCGTTGGCGTGTTTGAGCTGCTGTCATTGCTCAAGCAGAACACTCTTATTGCATTCTGAAGCAAGGCGGCAAACTGCTCGGATCTATCCTGAAGCTTTTTTGGCAGTTCATTAAAGGTGCCAGTGGTGTTTTGAAAGTTGTGTCGGTGGTACATGTGAATGATGCCTTCTGATTGGTCTTTCTGAGTATCGGTGAAAGTATGTGTTCTTCTACCACAGCCCCTAAAGAAAGACATAGAACATAGATATTCATTCATTTAATTTCGTGTCCTTTCCTATAGTTGACCCCAGTGTCTTCAGATTTTAGCTGAACATGAAGCAGTTTATAATATCTTAGTTCTGTTGAACTAATAAAACCTAATCTATTGAATTTCTTTGAATAAGTAAATTCCTCTTCCTGTTCTGAATTTTGCACACACACACACACACACAGAGAGAGAGAGAGAGAGAGTGAGAGTTGTGCCGTAATTAGATCTATATGGCAGGAGTGTGATGAACGTCCTGCAGGATCAGCAACAATGTCTCTCTCTCTCTCTCTCTCTCTCTCTCGTTCTCTCTATCGTATGATGAGCTCAGAGTCCCGTGGCGTAGCGGTGAAGCGTCTGAGGTGTTTGATGGCGAGTTTGTCATGAAGACACACAGTGTAGATTTACTCGGCACACTTTGTCATAGAGAAAGCCAACCTCATCTGTCACTTCCGCAGCTTTCAATCAATCTCCTGCCGCAGTCTTCGCTCTTTAGCTGACAATTTGCTCACTGATGGAGAGCAGAGCACTTCAGTGCGCGACCGTCATGCTCTATGAAACCATGCCAGAGATTCTCTAATCGCAGCAGAAGATGGCAGCCGATGCGTCTGTATCAGTGAGTTAGAGACTTATAGTCAACAAATCAAAAGTTTAGAGTTCGAGGCGAGCTATATATCAGCCGGGCCAATCACTTGATGAGCACTGGGCGGTAACCATTACCATTTGACCAACTGAACAGGTGCTAGCGCCTCCTAGTGTCAGTTCACAGTTTAATGAGACACGCCAGTAGATGATAAACTAGTTCTGCTTTCAGGTTTTTTTAGTGAATTCTGACAGAATATTGTGCACATTTATTAATTCGATTTTTTGTGTTCATTTATCTATCTTTACAGAGGAAAATATTTGAATTAATTACTTATGATTTTATTCAAATATTATTGAATGTGTTTGGTAAATGTTGGCAATATTGTACTTTATTTACTTATTTATTTGTCTATCTATGGAGGAAAAATGTTATGAATCTAAATATGATTCAGATATTATTTATTCTGTTTGTGTGAGTATTGTGTGAATTCATTTGTTTGTTTGTTTGTTTGCTTGTTCATTCATTTATTTATTATAGAGGAAAATATTTGAACTAATTACTTCAGATTTTATTCAAATATTATTTAGTGTGTTTGGTAAATTTTGACAATATTGTGTGAATTTATTTATTTATCTATCTTTATAGAGAAAAAGATTAAACTAATTACTTCAAATGTGATTCAGATATGATTTAGTATGTTGAGTGAATTTTAACAGAATATTGCGTGAATTTATTTATTTGTTAGTTTGATTATGTTTTAACAAATTACTTAAGATATTATTAAAATATTATTTAATAATATTTAGTATATACGGTTTGTTTAGTGTTTAGTACCTAAAAAAGTTTAACTAATTACTTCAGATATTATATAAATATACAAATAATATTTTCTAAATATTGTATTATTCATTCAGCTATTATTTTGTTTATTCATAGATCTGAGCAGAGAATATTTCTCATGTAGATTTCAAGTATATTTAGTGAATTTAGACATAGTGTAAATGAATTAATTGTTTGTTGAAAATTTTCAAACTTTCATGTATATGTATATATAGTAAAATGACAAAAACACAACAACATTACTAACATTTTAAATTAAAATTACTAAATTAAAATGAAAACAGAAAATATAAAAACAAAAAAAATAATTTAAAATATTAATAAAAACTATAATTGTACCTCAGTGATGTAATGACACTGATTGTTACATGATTTTCATTACATATTTTACGCCCCCCCCCCATTCTCATTATCATAACACAAAGAAATCTCATTACTAAATTTTATATAATTATATAATACAATTAAAAACTATATAGACGTTAAAAAAACTAAATAATAAAAATGAATGACAACTGAAAATATAACTAATTCAAAATCAAAACTATAATAGTATCGCAATGATGCTAAAATGTCACTGACTGTGGCATAATTTTCATTTAATATTTTACCTGCCAATTATTTTCATTATCATAATGCAATTACAATTGCATTCAGCAAACCTTTGCTTCCAGCAAACCTTTGCAGCTTGTATCAGTTTTACAAACACTAAAGTTTAACAACCAAAAAAACTCTGATGGCAGAGCCAGCCGTGAGGAAATCACACCGCAGGCGTCGGGGCCCCTGGCGACAAATAAATGTGTGCTCAAAATCGCACCTCAGTGTTTCTTCCAGACTTCTATTTATTTCTTAATAGCTCAATTAGTCTTCCAGATTGCAGTTTAATGAATTTGAATTTGGTCTTGATGAATTTGAATCTGATCCTCATTTGTCTGTCGCCGCAGCAGAATCCCCTCGACGGCTGAAGTGTGAACAGACTATGGAATGTGGCAGGTTTGTTTGCTTGTGAATTTAATTAATTCATCATTACACGTCGACGCGCTGGAGATTGTGAAGCAATTAAATCAAATGCATCATAGGCTCCATTTACACTGAAAGGAATAGTTCACCCAAAAATGAAAATTAGCTGTAAATGTGCTCACCCTCAGGCCATCCAAGATTAGGATGAGTTTGTTTCTTCATCAGATTTGGAGAAATGTAGCATTGCATCACTTGCTCATCAATGGATCCTCTGCAGTGAATGGGTGCCGTCAGAATGAGAGTCCAAAAACATCACAATAATCCACAAACAATCCACATCATTCAGACACTGTTGCTTCCGGCTAAAATACAAGTTCATAATCCATCATAATGCTTCCTCCGGTGAAAAGTGGTCTGGTCTGAATCAGGAGAGAAATCTGCACAGATCAAGCAGCGTTTACAAGGCAAAACAGCTCTAAACAAATATGTGGCTGGATTTTGATGTACTGACAACATCTAAAACATCATCTCAACATCTATAACATTATTATGTATTTACAGCTAAAGAAACAATGTAAATAATTATGAATTTATCATAAAATGCTAAAAGTGCAACTATAAAAAAAAAACTTGAAGTCAAATCAAGAATAAAAAATAAAAATGATTTATAAAAAGTAATGGACAGAATCATGTAGGCCTCCAATGACAATTTTAATAACATTATAGCAATAAAAACAAAAGATATTTTGAGTCACTAATACCACTCTTACCTTGAAATCTAACCA